TTAACACACACCTTTCAATATATGTCCCTGGATTTTGATAAGAACTTTCATTAGCCAGAATCTAATTGTTTAGTGTTGATCTTCTATATTTGTGTACTACCTCCGGATTTGTTTGATCATATTTTTTATGAATGATGGATATAGAAGCATATAAAACCAGAGCATAACAGCACAGTGGTGAAGAACCAACTTCCTGAAGTTGGTTCCCAAGTCAACCTCAATGCTGCCACCTACTCAGATATGACCTTAGGAGAGTTACTATTAAGTTTATACCTCTATGTTATATTGGTGTCCATGGCAAAGGATTAATTTGAATATTAAATAACTAAATGCATGTATGGCAACTTATCAGAGCCATGGTGGCATAGCGGTTCCGTGTGGGGCTGCGAACCACAAAGAAACCACTAGCTGCTCCATGGGAGAAAGACAGGGCTTTCTACTCCCTGAAGAAGTTATGGTTTCAGAAACCCACAGGGGAAGTCCTGCCCTGTCCTGTAGGGTCACTATAATAAAGTGACCACACATCCTGCTTTTGACAGGACAGTCCTGATTTTTAACAATTTTTCCTGCATTCCGCGGCATTTTTTAAAAGTCTCGATTTTTGGAAAGAATGCACGACAAGCTAGGGGGTACAGTTTTCGGCTGCCATGTGGCTATTTCGCCAGGGTATGAGTTTTACCAATGTTAAAATCTGGTCACCTTACACTACGAGTCAGAATCAACTTGATGGCAGCGAGTTTTCTTTTACAGAAACTTTCACCAATGATACTACAGAAACTGTGAAGGGGCTTCCTAAAGCTTATGGGAAAGCTCCATTGTCTTTTCATCCCATTTCCCATTAACGTTTTGAAGCCAGTCATACAATGGAAAAATAGATCAGGATTCTGGACACAGGTAATATATTTCTCTATAAAATTACCGACCCGTTCCAAGTTATCTAGAAACCCACTCCTAAAATCTTGCTAGGATCATTTTCCTTGTTTTCTTAACTCAATGCGCTCACCTCTGTTCTAAGACGGTCTTCTCAGATGGTTACTTGAAAGGTTCCTGAATTTGCCCCTTTCTCACACATATTACGTGTTTGGAAAATAATACAGCTGAGCTGCAATACTATAATTCAACAGCAGTGGCCGCTGTAGACATGTCCCACAATGTAAACTCCTTCTGAGATTCTGCGTGAGTCACTGTCCAATGGATCGATTTTGTAGTGAAAAACAGATTTATTGTGTCTATTTGGAGAGATACATAGTAGCATGGCTCTTGTAGCATTGCCCCCGAGAGGAGCTGAGCTGGGAATACTTAATCCAAAGAGTGGAATGTAGTGCTTAGAGGAAGGGATAGCAGCATAGATTGTGGTGTGCTTTCTCTGAGTTGTGATGACAAGAAACCGGTGATCAGCTGGGCTTTTAAATGGCCAGAGACTGCCGTGGAGAGCATTCGCATTCCCTCTGACACACGGTAAGGCAAATTTTCTCTGAAACACACTGTGTGCTGACTGTGAAACAGGTTTACCTTCGTCATGCGCCAGGGACACTCTCAGAACTAAGAGAAGGAAGGGGTCAGAGAATTTTAGAAGGCCAAGACAAGAGCAGAGAATAGACAGCATGTGCCACTAGGTTATTATTAATGAGAGGCAGAGCTGTTTGAACACATATCCCTCCCCCCTTCAAGTAAATACACCTAATACGTTATTAGGAGCATGGATTTTGGTATCAGTTTGGAATGATAAGGAACCGCTAATAAACTGTATGCCTCTGAGTACTAGAAGCAACTTAAGCCTCAATTTCTTCTTCTGTAAAGTTAAGTATAATAATGACCTCAGAAGGTTATTCTAGGAATCAAATAAGTCCAGTTACCTAAAATGTAACGAACAACCCCAAACCCATTGCCATCAGGTCGGTTCTGACTCTGAGACACTCCAGGACAGAGTACAATACCCCTCATTAAGTTCCCAATGCAGCAATCCTTATGAAAGGGTCCCTGGTGGTGCAGTGGTCAAGTACTCAGCTGCTGACCGAAAGGTGGGTGGTTCAAACCCACTAACTACTCAGAGACAAGGATGTGGTCAGCTGCTTCTGTCCTGACGACGACACCGTGGGAAATACTACCAGGCAGTTCTGAGTTGCAACTGACTCCTGGGTCCAGACAATTGATCTTTTGGGTCGGAACCCAACACTTACCCACCACACCACTGGGGCTCCTGTCTGGAACAGTACCAGAAAACCGAACACACTGCCATGGCATCCATGCCAATTCATAGCGACCCTAGGGAACAGGGGAGAGCTGCCCCTGTGTGTTTCTGGGCTGTAACTCTGTGGGAGCAGCAAGCCTCCTCTTTCTCCCGTGGAGTGGCTAGTGGTTTCCAACTGCTGACCTTGAGGTGAGCAGCCCAATAGGACACCACTACACCACCAAGACCCCTCATTCAGAACAGTCAACACCCCTAGCCCAGTAACAGACAGTGCACTTGTTATCACCGCCAAACTCATAGCCCCATGGAGCCAGCCATTCAACCTGCAGGCTTCCTGCTGAGAACCCCTGTGTTCTTTGCCTGGGATTCTCCTGGCCTAGGTATGCCTGTGGGCTAGGGAGTCAGCACTTCCAGGGACAGTCCTTGGCCAATCATGCATGAATGTTAGTAAATAAATACCTCTATTGCGCCCCAAACCTCAAGGGGGAGAACTCTGAGGCTTGTTGAATACTCTCTGTCAGGGGTATTGAACCCCACTTTCTTCCTGCGATAACCTGCTCTCTAAGGTACCTTGTATGGACTTGTCCTTCCTTGTCTTCCCAGCTGGAGCTTCCTGCGATCACCTTAGAAATAATCTGACCACACTATATTTCTTGTGTCAGGAGAGAGTCCCAATAAACCGTGCTATCATTAAGATGAAAAATTTGGAGAGTTGGGGTTTGCCCCCTCCCCCTCCTTGTCCTTCCTTCCAGCCACTGCCTCTGTTGAGGCTCCTCTCTCTTTTGGGCCTGTAGTCTAACTGTTCACATGTACTTCCAGTAACTGTATTGTCAAATCCATTATCGTGCTCCAAGAACAACCATGCCCCTCAGAAGCAAGGATGGCGGGACGCCGTCTCATGTTACACATGGTATCAGGAAGGGCCAGTCCCTGAAGAAGGACGTCATGCCTGGTAAAGGGGAGGGGCAGCGGGAAAAGGACAAGATGGATTGACCCAGCGACTGCAACAAGGGGCTCAAACAGAGCAATCGATATGATGCTGCTGCAGGAAACAAGGTGGCCATGAGTTGAAACGGACTAGACGGCACCCTAGAAAACAACATTGTCTCTAACCCATCTCCACTGACTCCACTGCCCACTTACTGCCAAGATTATCATCCTAGAATGCGGTTCTCATAAGATCACGCCACTGTGTGTGTGTGTGTGTTTGTGCGCGCGCGCGCGCGCGCGCGCGCAGGCCCAACAGATCTAGACATTAACTCTAGCTAGAGGTGGGAGGGTATGTTCCAGGCCAGGGAGACAGCAGGCTCCGAGATCCAGGGTAGGAGGGAGCATACGTCTTTTGAAAGCGAGAAAGCCAGGTGTCCATGGATCCACAGGGGAGAGGAGGAGAAGAGGCACTGTACCCTTCCCTGTGTCCCATTCAGGGACCACCACCCCCCCTCCCAGTGGGGTAGTGAGTGACCGGCTGGACTGTTCATCACAAGGTCAGCAATTTGAAACCACCAGCCACCCAGTACAGAGAAAGATGCAGCTGTCCGTTCTGCTAAAGACTTACAGCCTGGACCCACGTGGGGTGGGAGGGGGGCATTCCACCCTGTCCTGTACGGTCACTCAAGATGCATCAGAAGCCACTACAGGGAAGCGAGGCGGCCGGTGCTGTGTCTATTAACGATGACGGTGCCCTCCCTGCTCCTGGTGACTGGGCGCTACAAAGATAGGAGTCGTGCCTCGGTCACATTCCCACCAGCAGCCAGCACAACGCAGAGAAACCAAACGGAATGCACCCATTTTACGGACCAGGGAAGCGGACTTGCCAAGATCCCAAATGACGCAGCAACACGGATAAACACTACCTCTCAACCGCATCCTTTCCTTCAAGTTACCACAAGCCCCTCTCCCATTTTTTTTCTAGAAAAATGAAAAAATTACCGTGAGCCCCCCCCCCCCCCCCGTGGGCCAGTACTGATAACAAAACAAAGAACAGGTTGCCTTTGTGGGCGCGGGTGAGGTGTGCATGTGAGCGCAGTTGCTGAGAAGAGCGGGGGAGGGAAGGTCGTGCACTTTCCCTGGTCTGGAGGTCCTAGTAAGAACGGGGCGCGTTTCTGGAACTCCCTTAGGGCCTAGAGTAGTCACGGTGATTAGGAAGGAGGCATCCAAGGACGTCCTGGGTGCTGGCCCCTTAAAGAGCATCCTGACCCTGCTGGTGCGGAGTGACAGGACGCTGGGACGGGACTGGGCTGAGCCCTCTTGGGCCCTGCGGGGGAGTTATGTGCTGGAGGTGGAGAATCTCGTTCCCCTGTTTCCTGTCTGCCCTTCCAGCCCTGAGCGGCGGTTTGGGAAATAATCCAATTTCCCGGCTATCCCGCCGCCCCCGCACCTTGGCGGGGGAGGCGGGGGGGGGGGGTGGGGGGGGGTGGGGGGGGGGGGTGCGGAGAGGAGGCAACCTTGCCTCGGGAATGCTGCCTCCCGGCCCACACGTTCATCTCTGTCCATTTCAAGGCGCCGGAACTGCACCGTATAGAATCAAGTACTGCGCCCACGAGGCAGGGCAGTGCGCGCTTTCTGTCCACGAGTGTTGAGCAAGGCCAGATCGGCGGCTGCGATCCGAAGGCTGAGTGGGGACCTGTTCAGGGAGTGGAGCTGGGGCTCCGCGCGGTCCGGGGAGGGAGGCGGGGCGCGGGGGTGGAGCGGCGCGCGCGCAGCTCTTGCGAGGATTACGGCGGAGGCTGTGGACCGCGGCGCCGTTCGCTCGGGCTGCAGCCATTGCACAGCCGAGCATCCCACATTCAACAGGAGGAACCCGCGGGAGAGCAGCGCCGAGCCCCCCGCGTCGCAGCCGCCGCAGCCCGTGCGCCCCGCGCCCCGTGCCCCCGCGCCATGGCCAAGGAAGGCGAGGAGAAGGCGGAGGAGACGGAGCAGATGATCGAGAAAGAGGCAGGCAAGGAGCCGGCGGAAGGCGGCGGCGGCTCGCACCGCCTCGGGGACGCCCAGGAGATGCGCGCCGTGGTGCTGGCCGGCTTCGGGGGGCTCAACAAGCTTCGAGTCTCCCGGAAGACCATGCCCGAGCCGCAGGACGGCGAGCTCAAGATCCGCGTCAAAGCCTGGTCCAGTATCCTCGCCTTTCTCGCTCGCTCTCGGCGCGCTCCGTGCTCCTGGGTGGGGGGCGGGAGGGAGGGGAGAACCCAGGGAAGGTCGCTGCCCCAGGTGACGACGCCGCGGACGCTCCGAGGCCCGGCGTCCGTGGAGCTGCTTCAGGCCGCTCTCGGCGCCCTCCCCGGGGTCTCAGGGCCGCCCTGCTGCTAGTGTCCGGCCGCGGAGGATGCTGAAGGCCGGATGTAGGGGTGACCGGAGGAGACTGGGAGCGCTTGGGGGTGGGGAGTGGGCATGGCGATGCGGACGCCCAGCCTGGACGTCTGGAAGGCTGCGCCGCGGGGGGTCTAATGCCTGGTGGGACCGCTCAGCTACGGGCACCGGCACTTGATGATAAAGATGCTTTGAAATAACTTAAGAGTGGGCCAGCCGCCGTTTCTGGAGTTCTACCTGTGCGATCTTATTTAATACTTCCCAGAACCCCGTGAGTTAGGTACCCTCCCCGTCCCTGTTACCGGCAAGGGCACTGAGGATCAGAGAGAGCCAGGGATTTGCCCTAGAGCACTCAGCCTCTGCTCAGTGCCGTGGCTGGGATTCGATACTGGCATCCTTTTAATCTGTGTGCCTGCACTGGGCAAGTGCGTGCCAACCGCCCCCCCCCCTTTCCTGAACCCCTCCTTTCTTCTGGGGCTTGGGTACTGAGCATCAAAGCTTGCTGAAGAGCCCTCCCTCAGACTCCGGCCCTCATTCACATATTCTGTTATTTCTCAGGGAATGGGGCAGAGTTGATCAGTGCCCTTAGAATTAGCCCCTGTATTCCCCTCTCCCTGGGGACCTCTTCCGGGGACGCTGAGGTGACCCGAATTGTTTATGCTGGGTGCCCGCCCTATAGGATCATTTTCCTATCATTCGGGGGAAGGGGTCCACCCCGTGCAAGGGTGACAGGAGGGTAAAGTGTCCCCGCAGAGGTGATCTCTAAATTGCGTCCCACTCTCAATCCCAGCCCCTAAAAGCCATCCCTGAACTGCCCCTCCCCCAGTGTATTCATGAATACATTGGTAGCTGAGTCTCTTCAGAAAAGCCCCGACCCCCCACCTTTCCCCTGTGGCTTCAGTCAGGGGGCCTTCGGTTCCTGGCCATCCTGTATTAGGCTGGTGCCCCCTTGAACTTGCACCCAGGGTTAAGTGCCCCCTCAGCCCCCAGACACCCTTCCCTGTTGTGGGAAGGACGCTGGTGTGCCCCTCCACTTGGAGCCAGGGCAGCACCATGCTAGAAGCAACCCGGTTGTCTATTCCAGCTGCAGTGCCCAAGTGAAAGGCACCTGTGTCGCCATGGTGATTGGCTAAAGCCCCCAACAGACACTGATCCCTAAGGCGCAGCCGGCTTCCAGAATCTGGGACCTGAGCCCGGAACTTGGGACCTCAGAGGCACAGGTGGTTCCTCCTCATCGGATGCCCTGAGAGCAGATGCAGGTGTCCAGGTGGAGTCTCCTCTGTTGCAGCCTGGTGGGTTGGGCCCTCACCAGTCTGCTGGGTGCCCCCAGGGCACTTGGGGTCAGGGAAGAGTTCCTTGTCAGCGGGGATCCTAAACCAGTTCTATTTCGTTTACTCTTGCCTAGCTGGCTAGGTGGCTTAATTATAAATACACCTTCGATAGGTAAATCCCTAGTATCCAGCACAGTACGTGACGCATAGTAAATGACTAGATTGAGGAGGGATGATTGTGGGGCGGGGTGGGTGGGGGTTTACGTCTCGGATTTTTCCTTGCACACTGGGGAAAGAGCTTCCTGTCTGAAAACATTAGAGACTAAACTCTCCCTCCTTAAGCTGTCCCTTAACATGTGCTTCTGGCCTTCCATTCCTGTACCTCTGTGTTACAGAGAGCTAGGGAGGAGATGGACCAGGGGCTTCCAGAAGTTGGTGGGAAAGTGCCCCACAGACTGTGGGAAACCCCACCATGCATACACACTCGTCCATCCACATGAAGGACTGGGTGTGGGACTTGTGTGTCACGGTGGTTATTCAGTCAGAGCGCGAACACAGTGATCGTGAAAAGTTAACCTGCATTGTAAATAGGCCTCTGCTCCCTGGCTTTATGCTAACGGTGTAAATTCTGAGCGTAATGAAAGCATTTTTGAAATAAGAAATGGCAGGCTGGAGACCGGGAGATTGATTTCCAAAGCCAGACACACAAACCCGCTCTTCGACGGAGCTGTGTGTATGTGTACACACACACACACACACACACACACACACACACACACACACACACCACTGCAGATGCCCTTCCCCCATCGCTCGGAAAGCAGGGGTGAGAGTAGGGTGGGGTGACATTTGGGATACATAGAGTGGCACAAAGAGCCCAAATTGGTTTTCGTTTTGCCAAGCTGGAAGACCGTGGGGAAGCTTTTGAAGAGGCTGGCAAAGATTACCCCCCAGGCTTTCCTCCTCCACGAGGCTGAGACTGGTTGGCCAAAGATGCCCATTGACTAAGTTCTAGCCTTTGGAACCAGGATGACTCATTCTCTATTGTATGAGCCCGTTGATGGTCTCCTGGCTGAAGGCCCCCTTTTATCGACTCTCCGTTGTTAATGGAAACCTTTTATCATCAGATGGGATACATTTTGTTGTTGAGAAAGCACAGTGCATCTGCATGGGCGTTCCTCAGACCCAGCAAGGAGGGGAAGTGTGTGTGTCCCCTCAGCTGCACC